AATGCCCCAAACCCTGGTATACGGTTTCAAAACAAGGCTGGATTATCACCACTTTTGAGAGTGAAAAATGTTGGTTATGCCCAGCATGGTCTTTTGTTCGGAGTACGGTCTTTTGTTACAGGGCCCTGTCCAAGTTCGGAGACCCTGGCCACGCATATAAACCATACGTCTCCGATCCCCGAGTCCCCGGCAGGAAGTGGTTAATGTATAGGTTCTTTTTGTCTTATTTAAGGTGTTCACATCTGTAAATTTGTTGTTTTGTACTTAAAGTCTGTATAAACAAGAATTTTTCTTTAGTTACAAGTGTTAAGGGTCATCATTCCATGCCAAATTATGCAATCAGGCCACCTCCTGTGGGACACAATTCAATTTGCGTGAAAACATTGACAAATACAATGACATACCAAAACAAGCCGAACCAAAGAACACAAAGTTTCAGCTTCAACAGTTTCCTTAATATAGCATGTTAAATTTTGGGTGCTGAACCAACATTTTTGCATCTGTGAATTGTGTTGTTTTAGTAGCCTGTTGAAGGCTTGTCTTTTTCAAACAAGGTAGGCGGCTGAATATTGGTATGAAGGGTAATAATTGGCCACATAAATCAATTATCCCGTCAAATCCGAATGTGATGCACCTCTAAATTTGTGTGCCATTCAATTAACTTTTTCAAATTTTGAGAGTGGCAGAATTACCAAATTAATATTTTTCTTGAATATACAGGAAGTCGAATACTGTATGCATGACATTATTTTTTCATTATTCTGATCGTCGGTTGTGAGGGCCTAAACATTGTACTGAGAGATAAATCACCTCAAGGACCCTAAGCAATTCCTGGGTAACAAAACTGAGCATTACATAATAATTGTCAGGGGCTATAATGAGGAGCAGAAACTTTGTTTTCCTTTGTTTTCAAAATCCACAAAGTTTCGGGAATTTTTCAGGCAAATCTGACCACCGTTTCAAATTTAATATGGCTGGCCTCGTGAGTAAAGTTTCTAGGCTTCAGTGTGGCATTTATAAAGCAACAATTGGCTTTTAACTGTTTAGTAAACTTGTTCCTTCATGAAGGGTCTTTGCAGAGGCTAGTTTGGAATTGTTGGCATCATTTTTCTTGTATCTGGCCAAATTCTTTCACCTTTCTGGCAGTTCAGTTGTCTAATTTGTGTACTCCTCACAGCTGTCCTTACTCTGATGCTTATACTGTCACAGAGTTTACAATTAGCTTCAACATTTCTTAACACTGGAAAAGGCATGCTGTGCAGATTGCTTATGGACAAAAAAGAGCACCCAATGCATACAAAAATTACTAGTAGTAATTTAATTTCAAATCAGACGTCTCTTATGAGTTTTGCAGTTTTTACAAAATATTGTGACAAAAACTCAACTGTTTACAGCTTTAACAATACTGTACTTATGTATGATATTGACATACAGCATGTATGGGCAATGTATCAATATTTTCATTGCAAATAATAAAAACAAATTTTTAGTGTTGTTGTTTTCCAAATGTGAATATAAAAATGGATGATGGCATTCTGTGTGATGTACATTTGAGAATTCACAATTACAGTCAGGCAACCTTTTGGTGCATCTTGAACGGAGAAGAACATCGACATCGAACACGCACAGTTTCTGTGCCCACGGAATGTTCAAATGTAAAATACATGTTCATGTGCATGATGTATATGATGTCCGCTCATCCTGTAAAAGCAGGCACACATGTGGTACGACCACCGTATGGGCCATTACACACGAATATATTGAGTGGAATAGCCCGGGCCGATTTGGAAGCATTTCTTACCTTTGTTGTTTGTGTTTCATGAAAGCTCCTCTTCGTCTTTATTCACAGGCTTTCTCTGATTTTCCAAAGATCATGGGTGCAGTGTTTGACTTCAGCAACCGTTTAAATTTAATCCCAAACAAGTCATGCATTGGCTCCGGTCAGCCTGACTTTCGATGTCCAAGTTTGTCTAAATTTCTCTTTGTCCAATCTTTATAGGTATTGTTGCAGGCTGCAGTAAACAAATCTGGTCGGCATGATCTCTAAACTCCAAAAATTGGACTGAATTTTCTGAACTCAACCCAAGACGAGCATTAAAACACCCTAATAGTGCATAACGATATCTTCTCAAATGTACATCACAGATATGCAGATTTTCTATGCTTTTGAGATACCTCTCGGGTGCAGGGCCATTTTGCCAAAAATTTGTGTTTTTTCCCAAAATTTTTCTCCCATTTATTAATCAAAACAACAACTTTTACATTTGACCCAGCAAAATGACACAAAAATGTTACGCAGGTAACATTTATTATCTGCACTCAGTTTCGTAAAGAGTATAGAATTCTATTTTCCACCAAATGACAACACTGTTTAAAATATGTGCCCCATAGCTCTTGCATTGTTACACTTTCGCAGGCCTTCATAATTCCCTTAGTGAAGCAGAATTCACTTTACTGCACAATAATGCTTGGAGCATAGTCCACTAAGCTTACCCTCTAAAACATGACCCAACAATCCAACATCAAGATGAGGTAGGTGATATACATGTGGATATTTTACAACTATTCTCCCCCACTATTAAGTTTCATACTTCAAAGCAACCTACAGTAAAAACCTTTGCCAGCAGAAAGCTTTGTTTTACGGGTAATGGAAGTTGGCAAATTTGCATTGTTCCATGTTTACATTGGTAGCATTTTCCAGATTGTACCTTTAATACAGGTCTTCAGCCTGGTTTTTGAATGGTGTGTCACAAATACGAATAGAACTACTGTTGATCCATCATCACAGCCCAACAACATTGATTGACTGACAGGCCGGCATATTTGTATTTATTGGACTAACGAACACAGCATGAAATTTTGTAGGGTCAGAGGACGGGAAGCAAAATAAGACAAGGCTCTAAAGTTCTATTTTACCCGTACAATTAACTTATCTAGGGTTGGGAAGAAAAAACAAATTGAATTTTGCCCATTAAGTTTTTTGTTTTAAAACACTATAAACTAAGCTATGAACAGTTTGTCTGAAACTTCCCCTAAAGGACAACTGAGAAAGGATTAAACTTTTCCAAATGTTTCTTGTTCATGTATGGGTGTTAGTGAGTTTGTTTCTGCATTCAATTGGGGACCCTGAACAATAGAGGACAATAAGGTCCCTGATTGACAGAAGGTCCCCGATTGACAACTGTGTACAAAACATA